TCCCTCTCTCCCTCTCTCCCTCTCTCTCTGTACCCCCTCTCTCTGTGGGTGTCTCTCCCCCTCTTCCTCTGCGGCGACAGGACTCACATGAGATGATGACAGATATGTGAAGAGCGATGGCTGACCCGGGGTGATGGCAGGAGTGGCGACAACATCGGTGACCACGCTCCGCCGTCACTGCCGTCAACCGCCAAGGTCAACACCATCGCTCATCGACGGAGAAAGTGCATTACGGAAATAACAGTCCAGGGGGCTGCGATGAACTGATGCATGGTTGCCATAGCAGCCGCGGGTGTGTCCCGTGCTCACGTGTTTGTGCATGGGCGTTAGGGGGGGGGGGGTGTTTGTCGCTTAAATGTTGTACCTTGCAAGATATCTACACAATTGTCTTTGAAATCCGATGAAAAATTATTATAACCTAACTAGATGGCGGTGGTTACGCTTTTACGGATATAGGGTGTGGCCGGCGCGTAGGTGGTTGTGGTTGTGTTTGTTCGCAGCTTAAAACTTGTATCTTGCAAGATATCTACATAATTATTTTTAAATCCGATGATAAATTATTATTTCCGAACTAGATGGCGGTGGTTATGCTTTTATATAGACGCTTGGGTGGTGTTTTTTCAAAACTTGTTATACCTTGCAATATGTCCACACACGCGCAATATGTCCACCTTTAGGTACAGCCGTGGGACGGCGGTTACGTGTTTATTGCTGTATAGGCAGCGTTCACTATCAACTCATTCATTACAAGGTGGCTACGCAACTGTCGTTAAGATAAAAGAAAAGATTCATTATGAACGTGTACTGTATAACTGTACACCTCGTGGGTGTGACGGCGGTTAGTTATGTGTTTATGGTCCTAAGGTGGTGTTCACTCTTAACCTGTGCCTCGCAAGGCGGCTACACAACTGTCGTTAAGATAAAAGGAAAGATCGAGTAACTATATACACGTGTACTGTATAACTGTACCGCCGTAGGTGTGACCGCGGTTACGTATTTATAGTTGTATAGGTGTCATGTTCACTCTCAATTTTTCTCCGCTAGTATGGGTTTACCTAGCAGAAATGTGTCAATTAATTAAGTCTGCGTGCATTATTATGCGTGAGAAAATATAAGTAGATGTCATTGTATGCAATTGTGAAATTAGGAATAGTCATGGTAGTAATTGCGGGAATTAATGAAGATTTTATATCATTTATTTGATTCATAAATTACAGGTAAAAGAGATAAAAACATAAAAACCCCGTGTTTCCGGTTAGCAGAGCAATAAGAAAAGAAGAAGAAGAAGAAGAAAAAGAAATCGACCCATAGAAAACGCGCGAAGTAAGAAAGACCCCCTCCTCCGCGACAAAAACCTGCTCATCAGGATTGGTATAGGAACGGCCTACAAAAAAAAACAAAAAAATACCGCACCCTGGCGGGGCGCAAAATTTTTTTCCCCACTTCAGTTCCGGACCACAGCCAATCAGCCCACTCCATTCACTCGACTTCCTCAAAGCAACAATATCAAATGAATACCACCTATCCCTAACCCTAACCCTAACCCTAACCCTAACACGTAACCGAACCCTAACACTAACTATAATCCAACCATATATATAAGCACCATTTATTACAAAACACTATCTATGGTGGGTCCGGAACTCAAGTGGGAAAAAAAATTTCGCTGGCGGCGCTATGAATGTTAACGATGTGCGCGCCCCCATGGATCACGTCGCGGCTAAGCATTCTCAGAGACGTGACAGACGACGTTGTTGTCTAAACGACCGACTGAAGGTTATTCGTATACATGTACTACATGTGACACTCAGGCGTTTGACGTTCTATGCATGAAAACCGGGTTTTGTTGCAGTCCTGTCCCAGGCCGGTTTTTGTGTGATAGGTAAATGAGTAGGTTTCGAAAAAAATAAAATATTTTTCGTACGACCCTGCGCTAGAATTTTTTCTCGTGTGCCCTGGGATGTCACACGGGTGCTTAAGTTATTTCAACCCGCCAGCTTAGCTTGGAGCGTTAATAATATAGTACATACTAGTACTAATAATTATAGTAATAATATAGTACATGTCCCATAAATAGCGATTTATTGTAATTATAATTACAATTGTATTAATGTTAAAATTGCAAACTGGTTTTCTGTACTCATGAGACACATTTTAACTTACTCGTGTTCCTCCTTTAGCCCTACTATTTGTGAGAAATTGATTAGACTTCCCCTTCCCCGTCCAGTAGTAGTATAGACCAGTAGTGAGCATATACTTAGAATAAGTTCGATGTGAAAATTGTTAACCTGGACGACTCACCCCAGTAAATATAATTCGGAAAATTCTTAAAACCTTAAAACGTGCGATAGATTATATGGTCAGACGTGCCTATGCACTTGCCTGTTATCTGTATAAATAGAAACATTTTTGATAAGATGCGCATAAGATAAAACGTTTTATTAGAATTGCGTATTAGGCGTGAAGAAGACGTACCCACGAATAGGTTTCTATAAACATGTGTCACTACTTCCCTTACACAATAAGAAGGAGTGCAATCTTCTCAACATCCCGATTCGGCGCAGTTCCTTGCCGTTGGTCGGCGCTAGTGTCTCGCATTAGAAGTAATTTATGTATAGACGAAATTCATGTTCATTTTCGGTAAAATTATAAACTTGTAGTGAGAACATATTTAGGATAGGTAGATGTGAAGAATTTTGATCCCAATGACTCACGTCAGTAATCATAAGGCGGGAAATCTTCAAAACCTTAAAACGTTAGATGATAAGGTCAGATGTATTCATCAGTGTCGTAGCTATGACTCATTTCGCATGGAGGGGTAACCACGGTTGCTTGCGTTCAGGCCATACGACGCACCACACACCACACACACACACACACACACACCCACACACACACATACATACACACACACGGACACACCACACACAACACACACAACACGGGACACACCACACACACGCACACACACACCACACACACACACACACACCACACACAACACACACACAGCACACACACAACACACACACACACCACCACACACCCACACCACCACCACACACAGCACACACACACCCACACACACACACACACACACACCACACCACACACACACACACACACACACACACACACACACACACACACACACACAACACCACACCACACACACACACACCACACACACACACACACACACCACACCCACCATCGGTAAAAATACACGCGGGCCAAGGTGACGCGCACAGCATGATGCCACATCGCAGCATTTACGCGCCGACCGCGCGCGGCGGCGCCACTGCGTAGGGAAGAGAAGGGAAACGGAGACGCACAGATCGTTTCCCTCCTTCCCTGCCTCCCTCCCTCCTCCATCCTCCCTCCACTCCTCCCTCCCTCTTTCTCCTGCTTACTAAACGGCTAGCATCGCGTCCCTAGTACGTTTGTTACAAGGGGTTGACCGCGAAGTGGTCCGTCTGTCACGCGTTAATCGCCGCGTCCCACGTTGTTGTCACACGTGGTGCGAAGGCTGGTTCCGACGTGCGTGCGTACGTACGTGCGTGTGTGGCGTGCGTACGTGCGTGCTACGTGCGTGCTACGTGCGTGCGTGCTGTGTACGTGCGTGCTGTGTACATGCGTGCGTGCTGCGTGCGTGCGTGCGTGGCGTGGCGTGCGTGCGTGCGTGCGCCGCGCATGTGCGTCCGTGTGGCGTGCGTGCGTACGTGCTGTACATGCTTGCGTGATGCGTGCGTGCGTGCGTGCATGCGTGCGTCCTGTGTGCGTGCGTGCGTGCGTGCGTACGTGCATGCGTGCGTCCTGTGTCGTGCGTGCGTGCGTGCGTGCTGCGTGCGTGCGTGCGTGCGTGGCGTGTGTGCGTGCGTGCGTGCGAGATCACACATGTACGACGAAAGCATGGCCGCCAACTAACGCAGATGCGCGCACGAGTACGGGTCGCTTTGACGACGTTGGTTTTCCGCTTGTCTTCCGCTTGTCCTTCTCATAAACGCCACCGACACTCGGCTAGCTTCCTTCTCGATCGTAGCGATGGCGAGGGGATGAGTAGTGGGAGAATGATGTGTCAATTAATGTGGAAAGGAGGAGGAGGAAGAGGAGGAGGAGGAGGAGGAGGAGGAGGAGGTAGTGGGGAATGATGTGTCATTAATGTGGGAAGAGGAGGAGGAAGAGAGAGGAGAGGAGGAGGAGGAGGAGGAGAGAGGAAGTAGTGGAGATGCGGTGTCAATTAACTGTGAGAAGAGGAGGAGGAGGAAGAGGAGGAGGAGGAGGAGGAGAAGGAGGAAGTAGTGGGAGAATGCGGTGTCAATTAATGCGGGAAGGAAGAGGAGGAGGAGGAGGAGGAGGAAGGGTAGGAGGCTAGTTTGGAACAACGCCGACACACGCACGCCGCGCGTGCGCGGTAAAAACCACCAGTGGCATTCCGCAGCGAATTAAACCCGAGTCAGGCAGCGCAATCGGGATGGATGAGGAAAACATCTGCTTCAGGACCACTCGCCGGCTGTACTGTACCGCCCGTTGCGAGAGCGCATCCTCAGTAGCATCAGCATCAGCAGCAGCAGCAGTACCAGGAAGTGTGTCATGGGAAAACAACGGTTGCGTCCTGCCCTGACCCGTAAGACACTACGCAGACATATACACGGATATACCCATAGCGGAAAGAGTCACGTTGGCGGTGCGCGTCTGGTTCGTACAAAAGATAAGCAAAAAGGAGCAAGAAGAAGAAAAAGAAGAAGAAGAAGAAGAAGAAGAAGAAGACAGAAGAGAAAAAAGAAGAAGAAGTGTGCGGCGTGCTCGTTCGTGTTGACTCTGCGTTTCACGCAGGCCTCAAGTGTGTGTTCGCTCGGACTGCGATTCAAACTTGGTGAGTCGTCATCGTTCTGTTGTTGTTGTTTTCTTTTGAGTCAGCACAAGTTACGACGACGGCCAAGGCAACCTTGAAGTTTTCTTTCTCTGTAGAGTGGATGAGACATCCTGCTATCCAGTGAATCACCTCTGGGCACCCTTGAGAAGTCAACTCTACACATCCTACGAGTGAACTACGAGGTGACTTAAAACCACATGCTCGTGTGAAAAACATCGTGTAGTGAAAACATCCAGATCGATATCCCCGATACGGTGTTCCTTGCAGATCGATACGGAACTATTCGTCGGTATCGACGCTGAGTTCGTGCGGTTAACACTTATAAGTTAGAATCAAGCAAAAAAAGCAACGGTAAGTCTATTGCATAATTGTTAAACTCGTCTATATATACATCAGGAACGAATAAAAAACAACTTGTTTTTATTCAGTCTTGATATATATCAGATAATCCTGGTAACTCACAATACACTTTCAACAATACAGTGTGTATTGTTGAACACGCTTCTAACAATACACTGTGTATTGTAGTAGGTACCAACACTGTGTATTTAAATCTCATTTCATTTTCATAAATTCAATCAATCAATAAAATATTTATAATTCATTCAATAAACGTCCAATTTGCAAGTTCTACAATTAAAAAGTAAACTAATTAAAAAAGAAAGAAAAGAAGAGAGAGTGTATTGTTAGAGGTGTGTCAATAATAAACAGTGTATTGTTAAAAGTCATAGGTACCTACTACAATACACAGCTGTATTGTTAGAAGGTGTTCAACAATACACAGTGTATTGTTGAAAGCTCGCTAACATACACAGTGTATTGTCAAATGCCTAAACATACAACACACTGTGTATTGTTAGTTACGCAGGATTATCTGAGGCAGTATATATATATATATATTATATAATATATATATACGTGACAGAAAAATGCAGCGGTATGTGTTCGATCACGTTTGTCGTTTGTGCCTTGGAATGGGGTTAAAGAGATTCTCTAACGATTAGATCCGCTGATTGATTCAATCAAATCGATTATATTATATAGTTTACAATAGTAAACAAATCAATACGTCTTTCCAACCTCGTTGCTAGATGCCCTTTGTCCTGATTATAGCGAAAGCATTTTTTATAACATACACTTATGTAACAGTAATAATTTGTGTGCTATTGTGCGCTAATGTGTATAGTGTGTGCTTATTGTGCGGTCTATATGTGTATAATATGTGTGCTATTAGTGTCGCTATTGTGAATAACTATGCGTGCTATTGTGCGCTATATGTGTATAATATGTCTGCTATTGTGCGCTATATGTGATAACATATGTTTGCTATTGTGCCTATATGTATATAATATGTTGTCTATTGTGCGCTATATGTTGTATAATATGTTGTGCTATTGAGCGCTATATTGTATAATATGTGCTATTGTCGCTATATGTGTAGATTGTGCTATTGTGCCAATATGTGTATAATATGTGTGCTATTTGTTTGAAGCGATTTTACCCTTTATTAGTGTTCCTACGAATTATTTCATTCCATGCCATCCATGCAAACTCGTGCATATTATTTTATTACTTATTACTTTATTACTAACGAAGCATTAAATCAGTGTAAAGAACAGTACTGCCGCTGCTGCGTTTTAACGAACATATGTGCAGCACATGATTTTCGCGATGTCCCGATAGTCTGAAGTTATCTCACATCATTATGTGGGTTAAACTCACAATTGAAAAACCGAGTGCGCTATATACTGAGGAAATCTAGATCAGGGGCCGTTTGCAGTTCTCCTTGGAGTCACTGTTTTGTTTTTCGTGCGTGCACATAAAATATAACATAATATAAAAAATATAACATAATATAACATAACATATAACATAAATATAACTAAAATATACATAATATAATATACTAATATCTGCTCCATTTGTGATGCTTACGTTTCTACGTGGCGGAACGATCATGAATTCACAAATAGTAGATGAGATTTTCAACCCGAAGTTTTCTAGCTTGTATATGTAGTTAGTTGCAACGTTAGTTTTGCTTTAGTTTTGCTTTAGTTCTGCTCTGATTTGATCTCTACACTTATACACAAAAATAATACATGTAATGTCATTTTTTATGTCCCAGCACTTCTAAAATACGCAGAGCCAATATAAGATTTCCAACCTGATGTTACTTCATGGCATCTTTCTGTTGATTCTCAACCTCTATTCGCGAATTGACTAGAATGATATCTAGTTATATGTTGCGATGACGCTAATGAACATGGCACATGTGTCGCGCAGAATCTTATGGTATCGGTGGTGGGGGTCCTCGTCCCCCCCCCTCTCTCTCTCTCTCTCTCTCTCTTTTCCCTCTCCCTCTCTCTCGCGCGCTTTCTTTCTATCTTTTTTTTCTCGCTCTCCCCCATCCTTTTCTCTCATTCAATCTCTTTCTCTACTCTTTCTCTTTTTTGTTCTCTCTCTCCTTCGCCTTCTCCCTCTTCCTATCCCTGTCCCTCTTCTTCTCCCTCCCCTCTATCTCTCATTCCTCTCTCTCTCTCTTCCACACTCTCATTCAAACCACCTGTATGACATAGCATCTGCGTTTTATCACGAACGTATCAAGGCCATCGCTTTTACACATGGCGCGTATATGTTTTGGCAAGCATCCTTCAACCGCATGATGATGTTGATGAAGATGCCTTCCGCATATTTCGCTGCGCCCCGCCACTTCACTCTAGGCAGCATCTTCCTCCTATCTATTTTCCCCAAACTACGCAGCTTCCTCGAAGGCTGGCTTCTTTGCCGCTACGCGCCAGATGCGTGCAGCAGCTTCCGTGATCTCGTTCCCAGTATCCCAGCATCCCAGCATCCCAGCATCCCCGCATCCCAGCATCACAAAATCCCCGCATCCCCGCATCCCCGCATCCCCGCATCCCCGCATCCCCGCATCCCCAGCATCCCCGCATCCCCAGCATCCCCAGCATCCCCGCATCCCCAGCATCTGGGATTCTGCGCGGTTGACGCCGCGGACACGTGACGTCATCTGTTCATCGCGGTTAACAGGAAATCAGCAGACGCGCACGCACGTGTCCCGCATTAGCGTCTGTCGGAACTCCGGCCCCGATTCCCTGCTTTACTTGCGCGTTTTGAGCGGGCAACGGGTTTAGCTGCATCTGTTACAGGGTTTCAACGCCTATTAACCCAGCGATCCACTGACAACGAGAGATCGAGGGCGTGCTGAAAACGCTCGAAAGCGTATAGAATTTAGAAAGTGTGCGTGCGTGCGTGCGTGCGTGCGTGCGTGCGTGTGCGTGTGCGTGCGTGCGTGCGTGCGTGCGTGCGTGCGTGCGTGCGCGGTTTGTCGGCAATAATTAGAAATCGAATGCTACGCCGGGAAGATTGCGTCATCGTGACGTATGCCGGCGTGCGTGCGTGCGCCGCCGCATGCCCCGGATGAGTCATACCATAGTTCAAGGTCATGACCTATTCACGGCATCAGTGGGTTCATACAGCCGTCGGGGCGCGGGAAAGATCGGGAAAGTGCGATCGTGACTCTAAAAAAAACTAAAAAAGAAGTTGCAGCAAACTTTGGCATACAGTAATCTAATTACACTGTAACTATAAGTATTTTTTTCAATGTCCTTGAAGATCTTCGAAGGTCGTTCGTCGATTCGCCCACCAACGTGGCGCGAAACCACGGTGGCGTTGGAAGAAACAAACGTTGTATTGATCTTGCTTTCAACATTACCTTTTTTGATCGTGGAGGTTTAACAGAAATGTTGTAAAGCTACGAGTTTCTCATGCATATCGGTCTACGAGAACAGGATAACGTTAAGACTAATGTTAGAGAAAATGTTAACGTTAAGAATAATGTTAAGACTAATTTTCTTTCTGACAACGGGCCCCTGGCAGCGACTTGGCATTGGTCCGCACGCTTTGTAAAAAAGGACCTGCTTGTTTATTTATTTATGTAGGAAATGCGGTGGGATTTCGGGGGTCTGACTGAACGCTTAGGCTTGCATGTCTCATCGGCTTTGCGTAATTTAAGGGGGCGTGGTCCGCCCTGAAACGGGAAAGGGTAATTTTTATGTTTGTGGATATTTTGTTTGTTTGCTCAAAACACAGTTGGTTTTAGTTGAAATTGTTTGGTGGAAGAAATTGTTATGTTCAATCTTGATTGATTCGTTCGCCTATAGATTTCTCGAAATTTACCATGGTGGCAAGATCGCTTACAATATACTCGCTTATTATATATCCCTTTCTACTGCTTTCTCTCTCTCTCTCTCTCTCTCTCTCTCTCTCTTTCTCTCTCTCTC